TATGATTTCATGATCACTTTCACCCAAGCTGCCTTCTACTTTCAAATTCTCAACGAGTTCCTCCCTATTTGTTAAAATCAAGTCTATACCTTTCCTATTGTGAGGGTATAGAGAAATTGCTGTCCAGCAATGGGGACCCTGGGGAGGGGGGCCCGAAGGGTCACATGACCCTCCCCAAAAGCCAGAGGAGTGGGGCAAGGCCCGCAGCTGGGGAGATAAAGGGGCAGGGTCAGAACTGGAAGGGAAGAGGCAGGGTCAGAGCCTCTCCTATTCCAGCCTCCTCTTCTGGCCACGCTGCCTGGTGCGGCATGCAGCGGCTGCACTCTCCCAGACAGTCTCTGGCCACACTGCTTGCCTGGGACAGCCCAGGCAGGCAGCGTGGCCGGAGGCTGCCTAGGAGAGTGCATTAGTGGCTCCACACATGCCAGGGGGACTGGAGCAGAGCCCCTCCTCCCCCTCCACCAGGTAACATGGGATGGGGAGGGGTCGGGGAGAGCGCAGGGCCCCCGGGCTAGGAGTAGGGCGGGAATGAGTCACCTGGGGGTCACATGGAGAATGGGGCAGGGACGAGTCACATGAAGGGGTCATGTGGGGGGGGCGGGGATGAGTCACGTGGGGAGGTCACGTGCCCCCTTTAGCTGGTGCCCCCTTTGTGTCCCTCCCACTAGTTGCCTCTCCCCAGGTCCAGCATAGTGGGAGTTAAAGAAAACCTTTGGGTTCAGCTAGCCCCGCCCCACTATACCTGCAGCCAATGCCAGACCTGGAGGGGAGCAAAAAGAAGGGAGCCTGACTCACTGGGAGCTGACTGGTGATGAGGTAGTTCTCTGCCTGCCTGCAGGGACAGAGCAATAACCTGCCAGCCAGCACAGCCACTTGAGGCAAGTAAGGGGAGGCTTCAAGTAAGCCCCAGCACTTGGGGCAACTGAACTAGTGAGGTCATGCCCCAAACTGAAGAGACATGTAGGAAGTAGCCCAGGGAAGCAGATCTTGATTCCCTACCCATCTCCCCTGTTCAGAGGTTGATTTACCCAGGGCCCTGTGAAACCTGGTAGAGAGGTAGGGTCTGGGTCCACCCACCACTCTCTCTGGCCTTACAGACTAAAAGACCAGCAATCTAGCCACTGGACTGCCCAGCCACAGAAGACTGTATCACACCCATAAAGACAAGCCTTTAGGCCTTGTCTATCCCCAAAAGTTTGTACCTCTTTAACTATATCAGTAGAGTTTGTGAGGGTTGTACCCCGTTGTGAGGACACAGCTACACTGGTATAAATGTGCTTCCACATATAGCTTATTCCGTATATGGCAAGGGGAAGAAGTTATATCAGTATAGCTGCATCCACACTAGTGGTATAACTATTTTGGTAAAAACTCACCCCCCTAGTTGATATAGTTATACGGGTACAAAACCTCTGTGCAGACCAGGCCGTAGATAAACCAAAATAAGTTGAGGTCAACTGAAATAAACATCTCCACACAGCCTTTTGCATCAGTGTAACTAAATAATTTAAAAACCTACGCTTTTAATTAAATGGTGCAGCGCTCTGTGTAGAAAAGCCCTAAATTTACAGGCACAAGCTAGTCTTATGAGTGTCCGCACAGGCGCTCGCCTGGGGTTAATGAACCCGTTTTTTAAAACTGATTTAAGTTATATCTGCAACTTCTGTGTTTAGACAAGCCCTAAGTCTCACATTATCTTCCAATGCAGAATGAAGTCTTGAGGACCACATTTTCCGAGGTTCTGCACACGCTCTGACTGCTACTGGCTTCAATAGAAGCAGCAAGGCCTCAAAGAGCTAATTTAATTTTTTTCAAAATTTCTCTTAAATTTCTCCACAAAAAACGTTGAACAATTTTCATGAAAAAAGTCAGGTTTTTTTAACCAGATCTCATGTTCAGCACCCCTGAAAATTTGGCCCCTAGCCTTTATGGTTGCAAAGTCAAAGATTGAAAACAAGTGTAACCAATGCAGTGATATCTGCTCAAGCCTGCAGAGATACTGCAACAGTAGCTCTCAGAGGAGTGAACTGCCCCATTCAGTGCAAGGTGTTACCGCTGAAGCCTAACAATGACATTTACATGTAAACACGAAGAATTATTTTGGCATTGGTCACTGTGTGCAAGAAAGAAGGAATTACCTTGTTATGCACAACTACTGCTGTGGTTTTCCTTTGGGTGATAGGAGTCTGGCTTGTGGGCAGAACGTAGAAGTGTACCATCATTTTTATTTATTTTCCCCAATATGATTCCTTGAGTGGACATCCTGATTTTACAAAACAGGGTTGTCCCTGTTTTGTGTGTCAGCCTTTGGGCCCTACATAATTTGTCTGAAACCAAAGTTTTGTCCTGGTTTCGATACAGTACACAAATTCGCTCTTGTGTTGGCTTGGCTTGCCTGTGTTCTTAGAAGGGATCCTGCTCCTGGGAGTTGGAGGGCCGCTGGCATGGGTGGGGTTGGACAGCAGAACAGAGTCCAGGGAGATCCATGTGGACCCTAGGGAAGCTAAAGGTTAAGTGGGTAGAAGACTGCTCCTTTTTAGCAGGGATAGGAGTTAGACAACGACACCCAGAAAATACGATGGTAGGAAATGCCACAAGTTGAAAATCTTGAGAGTTTCCTATGAGTTTTATTCTCATTTACCCAAGAATGGAGCTCTATTCAGAAACGATAGAACAGTCAGCACATTGCCAATTGAAAACTATAAATTAACACAATACATTTCCAGGGCTACTAATCAAAGGTTGTGTAGCGAAGGATATGTCTATTCTGCAATCAGGTGTGATTGCACCACAAGTTAATTTCGCTAACATGACTAAAAACAGTAGTGAAGATGCACTAGCTTCAGCATGGGCTGTACGAGCACCCCAGGGAACTTGGGTACATACTCGCATTGCTAGTCTGCACTGAAGCCTGTGCCACCACATTTACACTGCTATTTTTAGTTAGGCTAGATTAAAACTAGCATGGGTAGGCCTAGCCACACTGCAATCACACCTCCAATTGCAGAGTATGTCCACTTCTTATTTCAAAGGTAGTGGGGTTCAAAGCCTGTTAAGACTTATTAGAATTCATATTAGCTTTTTTGTCATGATAGGATAATTATTTTTGTCACATTTCAACAGCCAAAAGGAGAATTATCTGATCCAAAAAGTTTGATGGAAGTTCATATATTTGTGGTTTTGGTTGAGGTCACAGCCACTGCCCTTCAAAGAAGGAGTAGTTTGGTCTAATTATTCTTAGTTAGTGCATGCAAATTTGTGGGCCAATAATTTTTCCTTGTGGGTTCCATACTCCAAGAAAGTCTGTAATTTGTATGCTCTATCTCCAGTGTGACTAGAAAGTTCATGCCTCCATTTCTGGTTAATTAGCCTGAAATGAAATGTCTGACAGATTTTCCAAACTTTCCAAGTTTCCAAGTCTTTGCTTTGGCTTAGGTACATATTAGTTTTCCTTTCCCTTTTCAAAAGCATACAGTCTTGAATTTACTCCCATCACAGAATGAAAACTACATAAATAATAATAAACACATTATCATAATCCTGTGAGAAGACAGTTCTTCTAATGTCAATTTACACAGTGGTTTCTATACTTGATAATTATTATTGCTCTTACACCAATACTTTGTATCTTTTTATACTTCTGTATTTTTATTATACAATTTATTTTTTATTACAGTTATAAAAAGGGCATTTAAAAAAAATAAGGTGATGAATCTATATAAGGCAATCCGAGTTATGACGCTCTCCTGTGGATATTGGCTGTACTTAGAAGAGTTGAGGCGTTTGGTTTTGTTTTCAATCCAGGGCTTAAATGTGGTGTGACAAAATCCATGATACACTCTCATTGATGTGAGTTTTGCGTAAATGCCAGGCTTCTTTTAGGCAGAAATGAAGGCACTTTAAACACAGCTACGTGCATGCTTCGAGGTAGCCGTCCAAAAATTCTGTGAAAAAATTAGATCCAAATCCCCGCCCCCCCTTGCCAATCCCTTCCCTTCCACGTTATTTCTCATATCATACATAATTCAGATTTTGTTTTAGCTTTTTTTGTCCTCGGACAAAGTTTATTAGATAACCTATTATCTTCACTGTAAAAGGAAGAGCTTCTTTTTTTCCCCTCCTGAGGACAGGCTTTTCATAGTTGTCCTGTCTTTTAAAAAATTAAATGCTTTGAGCTACAGGATACTGTATACTGCTTGACAGAAATATGTGCATATTCTTGACAGGCGTCTCATGCAGCACTTTTACAAGATTGTTTCATGTTGTCAGTAAGAGGATCTTCAGATAAAATATCACAGCCATTCCCACCAAGTTTCCAGTTCGCCTACTCCTGGTTCTTTTTTATCAAATCATTAAGAAGATCTATTCTCTTGCAGTCATAGAGGGCTCTGGCCAGCTTTCCTACTGTAGGCCCTTTGTAGCCTTCACTCATAACCCATTTCTGCAGCATTTGGTAAACTTTTTCTTTGAGTCCATCTCGTTCGTAGTCATGGTCAATTTCATCAATCTGTGGCTCACTAAAGCCCAGTTTACGAGCACAGTGTTTCCACTGTTTAGCCAAGTTCTCTCTCACTAGATTCAGCTGTTTTTCAGAGAGGATAGAGGTGCTATCTGCAAAAAGAAAGATGAGTATAAGAAGACAGCATTGTTTAAACTCCCCTTCTCTTTGAATGTCTCTCCCCAAAATATGGTCACTAGTAATGACAGGATTGTAGGTGGCTTTCATGTAAGCAGTTGGTCTAGTGATTAAAGAAGAGGACTGGATGTCACAACACTCCTGTATCTGCTACTGTTTTGCTTTTTTGACCTGGGACATGTCTACCTCACAGTGGTGATATGAGGCTTAATTAATGTTTAATTAATATTTATAAAATGCTTTGATATCCTTGGATGAAAGATACTGTTATGACTTCTCGATTAAATAAATTAAAAATATGCAGTAGTGGTTTAAGCCAGTATTGACAAATACAAATACTATGGCCTTTTAAAATAGTCCTGCCCCTCCTGTACTGAAATGTTTCAACTCTTAGTCAGGACCACTGATCCTAGTTTTGCTTCCACTGTTCTGCTTTTTTTCTCTGTCTTTATGTACACATCTGCACATGCTGGGGCTTGGTGACTCATGAAACAGTACACTGTGGTGCCATGCTTAATGTCAGCTTCAGGTTTGGTAGAGGCAGCTGGGGGAGAATATCATCTAAGAGGTGATGAAAGAGGGCGGGAGGGGGGAGGGAATGGTTTAGTAATACAAAGCAATGTTAGTACAAACAACCACTCATGATGATAACCATAAGTATTGCGTAACTGTAATGCTATGTAATAAAGGAGGACCCAAAATGGCTAACTTCTGAATACAACAGCGAGCAAGATGCACTGTACATTCACTAAAGATGGTTCTCAGAAAGAGACTGTCAGCCTTCAGATTGTGCCCAAAGAGTAAGGCAAGCAGGGACCAAGGGGTGGGGTGCACAAGGAACAGAGAGCTGATTGTAAAGAGGAACATTATAAAAGAACGGAGAGAGATTGCTCTTACCAAATATACCCATGTTTTCATAATGTGCATAAGTGTTTTGCGTGTTGACCGGAACACTGCTTACATATAGATTCTGTTCTTCAATCTCCATGTGATTGTAGGCTCCAATTTGAATTCCGGTACTGTTATATATGGTGTATTTTGCAGTTTCATCTGTGTAAAGGCAGTTTAAGACTGATATATAATCAAGTGCATGCAGTTTAGAATTCAAGAGATACGATGATGGCAAGGGCAAGGAAGAATGATTTATTTTGTATTTAAACCAAATACAGCCATGATGATTATTTTGTATTTAAACTAGAAACAGCCTTACTTTGGCCACTGCAAGAACTTTTTCATTATTAATTTATGATACTTCTGTACTGGGTGCTCTCGGTGTGCTTTGGGTTGTACAAACAGAAGAAGTCACAATCCCTGCCCCTAGGAACTTGCATTCTGAATTGAATAGGCAATACAGTTCAGAGACATAATTCACTGGGTGAAAGATGAAAGTCAATCTCAAAATTTCAAAGTGGTGGCGATGTTCCTTTAAAAAAAAAGTGCATGCAGGGGATGGGGGGGGGGGGAAGGAAGGTTAAGAGAAATGGGGAGTTCTGAGTTCGTGACTTCAATGGTGCTACACTGATTTACATCAGTTGAGGATCAGGCCCCAAATCTTTTGTGAAATATTTACTGGATTTAATATTACATGTATCAGATTTAATATATACAGACCCTTATCTTTATATGGCTTCACTTCCACCTATGCACTGGCCATTACAGCAGGACTGGCTCTCGGGGAGAAGCATGTTGTGCTCTGTGACTCTGCAGATGTACAACCCTTGCGCGCTACAGAAGTCTTGGGCAAAAAGCTTCTGGGTGCTCCCCCATGGTTAGTGTGTCTCTGTACTGTCCTCTCTGAAGGGCTGTACCTTGGAGGCACAGCAGATTACTAAATTTCTGAACAGGCATGGCTGAGATTCTAAGTGCATAAAGATCAGGAAGTTCAAAATGGCACAGTCCCTTACTACTGTAATAGAGATGCTTACGGTAATCAAGATAAGAGACGAGGAGGAGACCATATTAGTTCATTTTATATCATGACAATAGTTCCTGGAAGATACTTAGCTAAATGTATTAAAATGGCTATGTATAAATGGCCCCTTCAGATCTGCTTCCTGTGTGTGTCCAGAGTAACATCTGCATACTTTATTGAAAACAACACAGTCATATTCAGTTTGTAAAGTGCCACATACATTTCCATTTCCATATACATGATTTTTAATCAATATCAGTAACAACTAACAGTGATAAATATACAATTAAAGAATAATGTCCCTGCCATTGGTGAATATGTAGCAATTAGGGATGTAAATACTGTTTAAAAAGTTAACCATTTAAATGATTAAAAATATGTCGTTTAAATGGTTAATCGATTAAATGGCTGGGTCGGCCAGCCGGCATGGGGCCGCTGTGACTGGTAGGCCAGCCCGGGGTTAATGGTTAAGGCGGGTTAACCAGTAAGGCTAATTCTTACCGGTTAACCGATTAACCTTTTACATCCCTAGTAGCAATAAACACATTGGTGGTTGGTTAACTACTTCAACAGCTTCATTTTTAGTCAAAAATGCTTTTTTGAACAAAGCCTAAATACAAGTGAAAAATGAAGCTTTTGAAGACTCAGATTTGGCTTATAGTTTCACTTCTCAAAGAAGTGAATCCAAGTATGAAGTCATGATTTCACAGTTCTGTAAAGCCCTGGAAAATCATGCAGTTTGTCTCTCAGAGCCATGACACTTCATATCTCTGTACTTTATAACACATCTACATGGTGCTTAAAGATACCCTGTAAAACAAAGAGACGTATCTCATTAACAGTTTTTAGAGGTAGAGATTTCAGTTTCACTTTTTAGTAAAGCTGGTCAAAAAGTTTTGAAATCAGGTTAGCATGCACATGGTGTTAGTTGTTAGGAAATATCAATGCTACAGCATTTACCTGTACTTATTTTGTGTTGTACAGGTGTAGTAGGAGTATATGCAAAATTCCCCTTCTTAAAAGGATTGGATTCCATTTTGCCTGAATAATTACAAAACACACAAATGCCAAAAGTATTTGGTAATCAAAAACCTAAAGGCACAAGTACTTCAAAACTGTTGTAATATTTATAATAGTATAAGAACACAGTTAATGCTCCTAATACAGAGGGGGGGAAAGGTGCTGTTACCCAGAAAGCTAAGAAGCTTTTTAACGAATCCAATAAAAGTATATTTAATTAAACACATTATAGCTTAGTGAAGTGCGTAACAACCTTATTCTGTGTCAAGATCCTCTAGCATAGACACTGGCAAAGTGCGAGCGTCACCAATGCGATTCCACACAGATGTAAGAGTTCCTTTGCTAGCAGATTCCAGTGCAGGATTAGAGTCTAGATATGGATTTAGGGACCTAATTTTAGGTACACACATTTGAAAATTCCAGCCTAAGGTAACACAACAAGTAAACAGAAGAGCTGGCAGGTCATCTGATTCTCAGGGCTTGCCTATATGGAACCTTAGTTGGCAGCAAGCCAGGGTATGAAAGTACAGCACACTAGCATGCCATGCCTTAAGTCCCCCTGTGAACCCTGCTGCCAGGCACAACTTCTGTAGTGCACTTTGACTTACTGCTGTTTGAAACACTAAGCATGGCATTTTTAGCACGTGACAGCAGCGTCCATAGGGCAACGTATGCCACAGCAGGCTAGTGTGCTGTACATTCACATCCTGGCTTACCATCCACCAAATCTCTGGGTGGCCATGCTCGTAGTCTGGTATCTTCTCCACTATATCATGCTGCTTCCCAATAATCCCTTCTGCATTTCTTTTCTTTCTATCCAAATATTTAACTTTATTAGTGATTTTGAGTGTTACAGTTTCCACCTGCAGATGTGACAGTCACAGCTCTCACAAACTCCTCTCAATCAATATATTGATATAGACAGCAATCACAGACTCTCCATACAGCATTTTTTTGCATTCTCTCTGTCAACTCTGTGGCACCTTGTGGTTTCTTAGTGTAAAGTGCTGAAAAGGAATACCATACCCGGAAAATCCAGCCTCTAGGGTAAAATGATTAATCTGTATAATACCTTGTCCTTTTCCTAAATGGTATGGGACAAACTCCACTGAACACATGGTTATTGACCTGTTTGTTTATGTTTATTTTTGCTAAACTCTCAATATTCTCTCCTTTCTCCGCCTCCATAGCCTTCTGTTCCTGAGGATACATACCTCACCTGCAATTGCTGAGAGGCATTGCCATAGCAGCATTAGATATAACCTGCTCTCTGTACAGCTAAGAGTGTCAGCTTCCTGTTGGCTTGAATTTAGGGTCACTTATGAACATGGATCTTCATCTGGTACAGCATTTACCCAATCAAGCCACCAGAGCCGGCAAAGATTCATTTTCTGAAAGGTACCAAAAATCCTCACTCTAACACTGTTTCTGTGCTGCAACTGACCGGCAGTAAGATTCTGACTCATTTTACACACCTTTGTGAGTCTAAAAACAACTACCATTTGCTTCTAGCACAATTTGATGATTGTTCTTGTTTACGGTTCTTTCACCCTAGATGGGTTGGGAGAGTTCATCAGTTATTCAACTGCCAACTTACTCCTGGGGGCATTCTGCACCAAAAAATTAAAAATTCTGCGCACAATATTTTAAAATTCTGCAAATTGTATTTGTCAAAATAACACTAAATAATCATGCCAGTTTCAATTATTTTGGTAATTTATTTCAAAATACCGGTCAGCAAGTATGTCTGTAACAATACAGACACACACAAAAATTCCCCCTGGAGTAGAGAGTTAAAGAAACCTCTATAACAACCCAGTTCCTGTTTCTCTGCCCACCCCACCCCAGAGCCCAGCCAGGGGGCCAGACACTCACAACCCCTCCCCCCCCACAAAGCCCAGCTGTGGGGCCCTCCAGCTAATACACCTCTACCTCCTCCTCCCCAGAGCCTCCTGGTGGGCCCCCCCAGTCCAGATACCCACACTCTGTCCCTCCCCAGAGCCCAGCTACAGGGTGCCCCCTTGCCCAGACACCTGTTCCCCTCCTCCCCCAGAGCCCAGGGATCCAGAGGAAGAAACAGCCTGATGCTTGGTCCCAGGCTTGCACAGAGTTTCCTGCGCGTCGCCCTCTCCTTCCCTCAGGGCATGCTGGGAACTGCAGCTGCCAGGAATCCTCTAGCTCCCTCCTCCTCCCCCCAGCAGTGTCTTCTATGTGCAAGCTGGGCTTTGCTGAGTCCAGTGGCCCATAGTGGTGGCTAGCAGAACTGCAGCCCATTTCTGTGGGGGAAAGGAAATTCTGCATGCAAAAAGTTCATTTCTGCAAAATTCTGCATTGCGGAGTGGCGCATAATTCCCCCAGGAGTACCAACTGGATAATAGCATGCAGTCAGTGGCTTGATTCTTCTCTCTGTTACACTGATGTAAATCAAGAGTAACTCAATTGAAGTCAATGGAGTTAAACAAGCATGTGAGGAGAATCAAGCCCACAGCAGTTTAATGAACTGAAGTGATATCAAAGTATCAGGAAAACAAAGAGCAGTGGACCATAATATGTCTAAAGGAAAGCCTTTGCTACCAGCACCACTGCCTGAGAGTAAAAAATCAGCTGCTTGCTGGTATGTGAGCTACAAAATGATCAGTGGCCATCTTACTTCTGGAAGACGACAAAAGGAGTACTGTTTGTGTTTTAGATAAAAAAGTAATAAGACAAATATCTCACCTACCTGTCTCTGTATTCGGGCTCTTTGGAAACAAAGGTGTGGATGCTTGTGGATGCTGGTCTAGGCCAGATTCAGGCACAGGGGGTTTATTCAGACTAAATGTATTGGCTGAATTTGATCCATAGAGATCCTCTGGACATCCTATTATTGGATCTAGAGGCCTTGTCCCATGCGTAATATTTGGATTGTATGGTACATTTTCCCATATTGGAGTTGCTGCAGCTGGTGGTGGTGGTTGTTGTAAATGACTGTAATTGGTCATGTTACTATAGGGACTGGCTTTTGACCCTGTGCTTTCAGCTTTCAGATATGATTCATACATCTGTGAAGCAGCAGGTGGAGTTGCAAATGGATCAAAGGACACCCTTCGTCTTCTTTCCTCCTCTCTCTTTTCAGCACTGTATACCACAGGTTGGCTTTCTGAATTATCCATCCGACTGCCATACTTATGATAATTTAATTCATCCTGCAGTTTTCTTTCTAGGCCCATAGAGGCCTCAAAGGAGGTCTCACAGCTCTCGACAGGCTGGTTTGCCGGAAAGGGAGCAAACATGGCTTCATCCATATTGCCAGTCATGAGACCCTGAGAGCTATGTAGGGAATTGGGCTGATCTGCAGTAGGGAAGGGAAATTAAATATTTTAATTATCCCATAATGCAAAGGTACAACTGTAGTTTTCAATTACATCTCAACAACACCATGGAAGAGACTAGCATTTTTATATTAAAAACAGCTAAATAATTCATAACATGTAACCAAAGGTAATTTCTTCTAGAAAAGATAATACTGTATTTTACATTTTACTTAAGACCTTTTCATCTGAAATGATCACAGACCACTTTATAAGCTGTGGGTCTGACCATACTGAAATCAATGGCAAAAGCTCAGTAACTTCATTGCTACAAGACCAGATCTTATAGACAGTACGGTATGTATAGGGATAGTAAATGTTTCAAGCACCACTGAACTGCAGCCACCTCTAAGCAGAACATGGCACAGAAATACAACACAACACATCAGGCCAACAAGGGAAGAATGAAAGGTCTTGGACTTTAGAGGGCCTGGTTCACTAATTTACCTCCAATGGAGTTATACTGCACAAAACTGGAGAGATATAGTGGAAAATCAGACTCACAGAATTTCACTGTAGGTGCTACTTTATACAGCACTAAAAGTCACATTTCTTTCAATGGTCCTATCCCAGCAAATCTCAAATTAGCCTTTATGAATGCATCATTCTGTATTTTTAATGAACTTTGATTTTCAATCTCTGTCTAGCTTGTTCTTCTAGAGTTCAGAGAATACATTTTAATAAAGATCCATTTCATGTCTATGGGCAAAGAAGGACGTAACCCATGATTTTCACCTAAACCTTACAGATAAATTCTGTCCTTGGATGGGTGCACACAGCTTCCCTTAGAGACAACGAAAGGTTTGCTTGTGGTCTGAAATGGATTGTTTGAATTCTAATTCTAAGCATTCTATAGCATCGCAAGACTGAACAAATATGTCAAAACCTGCTTTTTTATCATATTATTTGTTTATTTGTAGTATGGGGCTGAAGAGGCTCTCCTATTGAGATTTAAAAGGATTACAGCATCAACATGGAGCTTTGAAATGGTCTTGTAGATGTTGGGCATCACTGAAAATAATGGGGCTCAAAAAGGCCACTGTAGCCTTAGAACAAAGCTTATGTGGGACTGGATAGTCAGGGGATTGGTAATGATATATGGAATGTTGACCTTTCTATCTCTAGAATACATTTGAATCCAATCCAGGTTGGTGGTGAATGAAAACTTACTATCTGATGGCTGCTACATGGTAAATGTGACTTGGTTGACTTACTCTGGTTTCAAGTGGATAAATATCACCATTGCAAGAGGAAAAAAACAACCCCACCGTAGCTGGCAACTGTCAGCACTCAACAGACAGGTACTAGATTGAATGTCATGGACTGTGAACTACCCTACCGTCTCTACAAATGATCCTCCAGGGCAGGCTTGAGGATTATTGGTGGGGCACTATTGGTGGGGACTCTTAGGCATGTCTACACTACCACTTACGTCGGCAAAACTTACGTCGGTCAGGGATGTGAAAAAACACACCTCTGAGTGACATAAATTATGCCAGCATAAGTGGTAGTGTGCACAGCTACTGCCACCCATTGGGGGTGGTTTAATTATGTTGATAGGAGAGCTCTCTCCCATTGGCATAGTGCGGCTACATGAGAGATCTGACAGTGGCACAGCTGCATCAGTACAGCTGTGCCACTGTAAGCTCTCTAGTGTAAACATAGCCTCAGAATATGTCTACACTGAGTTTTAAAACCCATGGCAATGAATCTGAGGCTCAGGCTGGAGCCTGGGCTCTGAAGCCTAGGGAGGCTGCAATGTCTACACTGTTCTTAATGCTACAGCATGAACCCAGGTCTGTACACCCGTGGCAAGGAGTCTCGGAGCCTGGGTTTTTAAAACACAAGCATATACATGCCCTTACACTACCACTGGCTGCACTGTGTCTATTTGCTGGATAAAGAGAGGACTTTAATCTGCAAGGTTGTCAGGGTATCACCTTTTACAAACACCACATTCACACCAAGTTTTTTAAAGGATGAGAGAGTTTGTAACATGGTGCTGCTACGTTTTAATATTTTTCCTAAGAAAACGTAACTTGCACATTAAAAATGTAGCCCTATTGAAATCCATTACCTCTGCTGAAGAATGGTATGAGTTGTTGCTAACCTGTCTTTGGGGTGAGATTTGTCAGGCAGATGATAAGACGGATCACATAATCTAGTTCATAGAATCATAGAATATCAAGGTTGGAAGGGACCTCAGGAGGTCATCTAGTCCAACCCCCTGCTCAAAGCAGGACCAATCCTCAGACAGATTTTTGCCCCAGACCCCTAAATGGCCCCCTCAAGGATTGAACTCACAACTGTGGGCTTAGCTGGCCAATGCTCAAACCACTGAGCTATCCCTCTTCAAAATGGTCTGAGCAAAAGAAAACTTTGCAGGAGTTTTTACTGGATTTTCTAACGTTGCTTATATGTGAGTGTGTGATGGGATATGTAAACCTGCCTGTGATGGGGTGTGCACCCCACACTGGCCCTGCAAGAGCTGAATTAGGCCAGATGGGCCCAATCTATTAATTAGGCTGCAAACTGGAGCATTTGGGCTGGAGGCAGCTAATTGGAGAATGTCTCACCTGTGCAGGAATGGGGAGGGGGGGAGGGAGGGGCTATATAAAATAAAGGAAAATGGAAATAGGGGGACTCCTGAGCAAATCTGCAGTCACTGCCTGGGAAGAGGGTTTGGAGGTAGCAGAGATGTGTAGCCTGTAGTTGCTCACTGGGAGAGGGGAGTGGTGAAGCTGACAGAGAAGGAAAGGAGAGCCAAAGGTTAGGACAGGGCTAAGGGAAATGCAGCAAGGTATGGGATGGAACAGACCCTGACTGCTGATTAGAAGGTGCCTGAGCCAGAACATGGAGTAGAGAATGGGCCCAGGTTTCCCAACCAGCCACTGGGGAAGTGCATAGGAAGACTGCCTGAGTCTGTTTGGCAGAAGAGATGTCTTCCTTTCCCCTCCCCCCTCAAAAGGGGAAACCACAATAGTGACCTAGCTGGGGGAGTGAGTCATGATGTGGCCACAGCAACTCCTAGAGTGAGAGAGCAGCTGCACACAGAGGTGGAGGGACGGTTTGCAGCTTTGGGGAGAGGTGTTGAACTGTTCCCCAGAATGGCCAGGAGGAGGTGCCAGACCTGTGGTGAGTAGAGCACCCTGTCACACTGCCACAGCTGAAAAGGAATTAACTGGAGCCTGAAAGCTCTTTTAGTACTGCCTGGGAACACCTGGATAGCTCAAGGAGGCCTTGAAGGAAGGAGGTCAGGGCAGCTGGGAGGAGGCCCAGGAGAGATGATGTCTAATGTGCTCTCTGAGTGAGAGAGGGCTGGCTGGCAAGAGCTAGGAAGAGAGGTAAACCTGGAAAATGCAGAGGAAGGATTAGCTCTGCCAGCCAGTGTCCTGAGAACAGGATGAAGGATTCTGAGAACTAGACAGAGAGCCTATAATCAATCACATGCATCACACTGCTGGGAGTGGTTTAATGGTATTTTGGTTTGTCACTGCTTGGCAGAGAGTCCAGGACTATAGAAAGACTCCAGGAGGAACAGAAGACATTTGAGTTGATTATATGTTATTTACCAGTTGTAGTGGACATTATTTTGGACTTTAAGGACAGTGGTGACCATGGAAGCAGGGGGACACTAGGGGAACCTGGCAAGGTCTCAACACAAGAGACCACCTAAAGGCTGTAAAGGGGAACTCTAGGATGGTGGATCTGTTACACAGTGCTACAGATTTGAACTCCTGCTAACAGGGCACTTGGGTGAAAGAAGTACAGACACACACTTTCCACTACAGACATAGTGTTATGGCCACATATAATTATCTACAACTATATACTTCCTCAAAGCTGTGAAACAAACCAGGATTTGAGCTGATATGTGACAAAGGAAGGAACAGATGAATGGAGTAACCCACGACCAATCCCATGGTGTCCAAGGCAGAATCAATAGGGAGCAAGATCTTAAAACAAGTGACGTTCTAGTTTTTCACTCTAGTTGTTCTCGGGGCACTAAGATTGGACTGGGAAGACAAGCTAACTCCAAAGACTGATATAGCATGGAACTGAAGCCTAAAGATCAAGCAAAAGTTTGTTGGTGTGAATCAACAGAGGGAAAGTTAAAGGATGTTATTAAAGTGAATATATAATGTAATGTGGTGATGGATAAATCAAGTATTGAACAAATGAAGTACAGATGGAAAGAGAAAATACTTTCTGCACAGAGACAAAAGCACAAGAGTTTAAAAATAACCTGTTTTATTTTCAAACTGTAGAGCCTGGAAATAGTGATCAAGAGATAGTGTCTTTGTGACTTGCATTTTAGAACAGCAGATAAATCTGATCTTTTTATTCAGTGCTCTAGATTCTCTCCTGAGTTCTGAACAACTGGGTCTGTTAGTTACAGCTTTTAATAATAATAATAATAATAATTATTAATAATGGAATCAATTTTATTTGTCCCCAATTTTGCCCTAAGCAGGCAATATGAAATAGTGTTATGAAGTGATGTAATAATCACCTGTTTGTGCATGTCCATTATTTGGAGATTCTGCGACAGAGTCTATCTGAAGGGACTGCATCCTTTTCACAAGTTCAGTTGGCCCAGGGTACACTTTCTATACACAGGAAAAAATATGCAGCACATGAAAGTTTAAGCAAAGGAAGCATCTTTACTGTAGAAACCAAATGCATCCCCACAGTGAGTGGCCCAAGTGAACAGCTTGCATACATCTCATGTTCTTTGTTGGTAGAATGCTGGTGGACCACGATCATTGCTTTGCAGGGCTTGCTTACTAGTGAGGCTAAGTTTACAGACAAGCAGTGTCTGCTTTCAAGGAAGGCAGGAATGATTACTATGTAAATACAGGGCATGATTCTCTGATCTGGCCAAGCTGTGCCCTTACTCACATTGACTACTGCCTTAGTCCATGAGCTAATCCCATTGGACTAGACAGTGACTCACTGCACTGCTCCCAACTCAGGTCTGTACCTACAAGTCACAGTCTTATCACATTGTAATCTATAGGATTGCTTGCAGAGTAAGATGCTGCTTAAGGTAAAGGTACCAGAATCATGCCCTATTTTATGTATTTACATGTAGAGCTTAACTGGAAAAAAATAATCCACAGCTATGGCCTTGTTCTGACAACAGTTTATATGTGGGATATGGGGACAGGGAGCTTGGTGAAGATCCTTGGAAGGAATGTTTTAGTGTTTCACTGCACTTTCACCTTTGCAAACCCTTGTCTTCATTTGGCAAGGCCCAAGGAATAATCATCTTTACCCTGGTATTTTGATGTTCCAGCCATACATGCCTTTTTGATGTCCTTACTCAAGTAAAACTTGAAGTCAAGTATCAGAGGGGTAGCCGTGTTAGTCTGAATCTGTAAAAAGCAACAGAGGGTCCTGTGGCACCTTTAAGACTAACAGAAGTACTTCTGTTAGTCTTAAAGGTGCCACAGGACCCTCTGTTGCTTTTTGAAGTCAAGTGCAATTTTACCAGATTAAGGACTTCTGGATTTGACCTTTTGCTTTTACTTGCACTTCTCAGAAAGTCATTAGTCACTGTCTTACCAGGAAGTCTTTTCACAAATTAAAAACCAACAACAATCTCTTCCAGGAAACATATCTTGATCCCAGGTAGTTCAAAACTTCATTTTGGCCTTCTGTTAGGGCCTGATTCTGGCACCCTGCTTATGCAACTGTGTATTACCCTGCTCCAGGAAAAGTCCCATTTGTAAAGAGTGCAGCATACTCCACCCTTGTCTTATTTCAAAGAGACTATTTGCAGAGAAAAGTGCTACTCAAAAATCAAACCGTAAAAAGCTACAAAACATATTGGTACAGCTTTGTTACTTAACCATATTCATTTGCTTGTATGTTGCATCCATATCTCCTACCCCTGGTTTGTTTCTGCCTTTAGACTCTCAGCCATTGAGGGCAGGGATTGTCTCTTTTGTGCTTGTACAGAGCCCAGCACGATTCTGATTGGTAGCACCCAAAAGCCCCATAATATAAAATATTTACTACTCAGAATTAGTATGAGTGGTAGAATCAGTTCCAGAAGAATATTTGTTTTGTCAACTTTATTTTGCAAAGCTTTGCTATCTTGCCAAAGAATACTGGACACATCTTCAAAGTCACTGCCTGGATTTCCCAAATCAGAAATGTTTTAATTCCCCATCCTGCAATTTCAGGGAGAGGGGAAAGCACCTGACAAAACATGGCTGTGTGGCAGAACAGTGGCACCATGGGGACACTTTCGCTTATTAGTTTAAAATATTGGGAATGCAGTCCTTGTCACCTCCGTATAAGTGGTACTTCCATTTCAGGGTTCAGCCACAGCATCAGGGCCTTAATGTCAGTAGGACTACTACAATGAGTAAATGTTTTCCAGGGTGACTCAGGGCTCCACAATCTGGCCCAAAGCATTTGCCAGGAAGTAACTTGCCTTTTCATTATTATTTCAAATCAGGAAAGCATCCTTCTGCACAATAGTTTGCAAGCTACATCCTATAGGAGGAACAGGGAACCAAGTTACAGCTGAGAGAGGACTCAAAACTTTGAATTTCCTGACTCTCTTTTTAATTTAGATTACAGTAATGCTTAGAGGTCTCAACCAGGTTCAGGCCTCTCTGTGCTAGGTATTATGTAAACTGTATGTATTTAAAAACCTCAGCAATAACACTTCATAAACTATGAACCAGATTCTGTCATCTTAACTCATGCTGACTAGTAGCTTGCTGAACAAATAGTCTCTTTTGATTTCCATTAATGTCAATGCAGTAACACCAGTATAAAACTAACGTAAATGTGATTTCAGCAGAATTTCTAATGGAGGAAAGTTCTACTCACTGGCAATCAGAATCTAGCTCACAGGGCTTTTTTACCTGCCACCCATACTCACACTAAGTAGCCCTTTACTCCACAAGCAGACCTATTGGAATCACTGGGAGTGCTTATTGAATATAGCATTACTTAGTGTGAATAAGGGTGTTAGAATCTGGCCCTGTATGTATGTGTGTGTTTTTTACTTACAAGTTACGCTAGGAAGCATCTGGGATGCTACTTACCTTTATCTTTCTCAAGTCATCTTCAACATCTTTTTCTAGTTGCTCACAGTAAAATGGCTTATATTTCTGACTAATTTCTGCAGGAAAGGAAGATTAGGAGAAAGTAGTTTTAAATGGCAAATATAAATGACTGTGCTGCTTAGCTCACTTCCACCAAAACTTTAACCAGTTAGTTACATAAGTTTATAACAGGAGTTGGCTCATAAAAATTAGAGCAATGTTAGCGGGGCTGATTTAGTCTTAAAAAAGAATGTAGTAAGAACATTCTTGAATTCTTGTTCACTTTTAAGTATTGAATACATTCAGTTGCATTGGGCTATTTAATAAACACCTACCTACACAACTGCAAAGCCCGCACAGGCTGTAACTTTACAACAGGTGACTACAAAGACAGTGAGTGACAGCCAGGGTCTTCCAACAGTATTATGCTTTGCTTCCTATGTTCTAAGCTCCTGTAGTGTCTTAACAAGACAAAGATACAATTCTATCAAGCTTTAGGGCCAAACTCTGGTATATAATCACTGGCCTGAGCCAGGGAGCTCTGGATACCACGTGGCACCCACAGCATATGCCCTTTCCATGCAATCAGCTGTGTAATGGACCCCTATTCTTTGAGAGACCCCCTCTAGGTTGCATGGAGGGAGCAGGTTTCTGTGCTCCCTCAAGCACAAGGACTGCAATTTGGGACTGGCCCTTTTGCAGGACATGCAAAAAGAGGGAGAAGCCTTCTCCCTCATCCTCATCCATCCCCTTCATCTCACCTTCATGTGCCATGGGCAGTCAAAATCTGCAAAGCACCTCATATACAAACTATATCCCAAATGGAGTGCCTTGCTCCATGAGTGGTCCCAGACTGGGTCTGCTCATAACAGCTTTATAATACTACTTACCTTCTCTGAGAAGTGTTTTATTATCATTAATCCCATTTTATTGATAGGGAGAAACTAAGGCACAGTACTCGTATAGACCTGATGTACTAGCAGCAGAATATGCAGGTTTGAGAATGGGATAACAAGTAGGCCCTTAACAGGGTACTAAAGAGCTAAAAAAATAAAATGCAGGTGTGCATATTTGTGTGGTGAACTTTTAAACTTATGCACACTGCATACCAAACAGCTGCCTGCAGTATCAGTGCTACTGCCTAGAACCAACACTTTTACATGCAGTAGCTTTTCTTTTTTGTTTTAGTCACCAGTGTACTGAGAGCAAGCAAGAAAGAGCCAGGAAGACAGAGCAAGAGCAGCAGTTTTTACCTGCTGAAAAGCTAGAAGCATCATCCCAAATCCACTCAAGCCAATGGAAAGACTCCCATTGACTGGTCCTATTGGAAGAGAATTAGCTAGTTACAGCCAATGGCTAATACATAGCTCAAGATAGTAGCTTGGAGAAAGTTATGTCTGAGACAGTTTTTTAAGCCAAATCTTGGAAGGCTGAATTACTTAGGGCCAGTCCTATGAAGTGGTGAGTGTCTCCCAATATCAGGCTTTTTGTGACATTAAAGAGAAGGGTTACCCTATGATGAAAACAGGGTGATGGATTTTTAGCTGGGGTAAGTTGGCAAAGCTCCACTGTAGTCAATGAAGCTATGACAATGTATATCTACAGAGGATGTGGTCCAGAGTTTATTCAGAATTCAGGTCAGATGATTGGAGGATAGCTAATATGATGCCAATTTTTAAAAAGGGCTCCAGAAGTGATCACGGCAATTACAGGCCTGTAAGCCTGACTTCAGTACCGGGCAAACTATCATAAAGAACAATATTGTCAGACATATAGAGGAACATAATTTGTTGAGGAAGACTCAACATGGTTTTAGTAAAGGGAAATCACGCCTCACCAATCTACTAGAATTTTTTGAGGGGGTCAACAAGCATGTGGACAAAGGAGATCCAGTGGATATAGTGTATTTAGATTTTCAGAAAGCCTTTGACAAGGTCCCTCACCAAAGGCTCTTAAGCAAAATAAGCAGTCATGGGATAAGAGGGAAGGTTCTCTCATGAATTGGTACCTGGTTAAAAAATAGGAAACAAAGGGTAGGAATAAATGGTCAGTTTTCAGAATGGAGAGAGGTAAATAGTGGTGTCCCCCAGGGATCTGTACTGGTCCCAGTCCTATTTAACATATTCATAAATGATTTGGAAAAAGGGGTAAACAGTGAGGTGGCAAAATTTGCAGATGATACAAAACTACTCAAGATAGTTAAGTCCCAGGCAGACTGCGAAGAGCTACAAAAGGATCTCACAAAACGGGGTGACTGGGTAACAAAATGGCAGATGAAATTTAATGTTGATAAATGCAAAGTAATGCACATTGGAAAACATAATCCTAACTATACATATATGATGGGGTCTAAATTAGCTGTTACCACTCAAGAAAGAGATCTTGGAGTCACTGTGGATAGTTCTCTGAAATCATCCGCTCAATGTGCAGCGGCAGTCAAAAAAGCAAACAGAATGTTGGCAATCCTCAAGAAAGAGATAGATAATATCAGAAAATATCATATTGCCTCTATATAAATCTATGGTATGCCCACACCTGGAATACTGCATGCAGATATGGTCACCCCATCTCAAAAAAAGATATATTGGAATTGGAAAAGGTTCAGAAAAGGGCAACAAAAATGATTAGGGGTATAGAACGGCTTCCGTATGAGGAGAGATTAATAAGACTGGGACTTTTCAGCTTGGAAAAGAGGCGACTAAGAGGGGATATGATAGAGGTCTATAAAATCATGAGTGGTATAGAGAAAGTAAATAAGGAAGTGTTATTTACTCCTTCTCATAATACAAGAACAAGGGGCCACCAAATGAAATTAATAGGTAGTAGGTTTAAAACAAACACAAGAAAGTATTTTTTCACGCAACTGACTGTCAACCTCTGGAACTCCTTGCCAGAGGGTGTTGGGAAGGCCAATACTATAACGGGGTTCAAAAGGGAGCTAGATAGATTCATGGAAGATAGGTCTATCAATGGCTATTAGCCTGGATGGGCAGGAATGGTGTCCCTAGCCTCTGTTTGCCAGAAGCTGGGATTGAGTGACAGGGCATGGATCACTTGATGATAACCTGTCTGTTCATTCCCTTTGGGGCACCTGCCATTGGCCACTGTTGGAGGACAGGATACTGGGTTTGATGGACCTTTGGTCTGACCTCGTATGGCCGTTCTTATGTTCACGGATTTGACTTGTGTGTATGAGGAGATTAATTTTTGTTTTGAAAAGAAACCCAAGACACAGAAGCCTGTTACAAACAAAAATCATGACCTTTCTGAAAGGAAGAATTAAGCTCATTTTGCCATATATTTTTTAAAATACTGGATATGTCAAAACAAAAATAATCCTGAAGCAATATTTTACCTGAAAAGGTCGGCCGATTTTCTGGCTCTTGTTGCCAACAGTACTTCATTAAGTCGATAATTTCCTTTGGACAACTGTCTTTAATATCTTCTGTATTTGGCCTGTTCCCATTCATGATGCCAAAGCAAATGTGTGTTTCATTTATAGCATCTGAAAAACAAAATCTCAGATCAGACTCCTAATCACAGGGTTTTGCCACCATGAAAGGTCATCTCCTAGAAACAGCAAAGAAAGTGCCCCATTTAGACCCACAAATCTGCTGGCACATGAAAATGCTTACTCTACGGATCTGACTCTGAAACCCTCACTCGTGATGAGTAGTACTTACTGTGAGTTCCGTTACTTGCATGAGTATCTCCTACTCAACAGGAGTTAGAGTTATGGAATTGAACCCTCTAGGGCCTGATTTTCAGTTGCTTTGTTCAAGTGCTTGGAGTAAAAACAGGGATGTGGCCTCAAAGGCAGTTTTAAGCCATCTTACTGTTCCTGTATTCCAGGGCTGTTCAGGGGCCTAGTTGGCGACCAATATAAGTGAGAGCAGCCCTTAGCCTGCTCCAACTTCTGCTCTGCTTCCCATGGCCATCTGTGCCAGGGGCTGGGAGCAAGTCTGGCAAGTATCCCTTAAGTCAGCTCTCCACCAGCGGAGCAGGCCCACTGCACTGGAAGGATTCTCCTGGGGGTTTCTCTGGCCCCTTCCAGGCCCAGAGTGGCAGAACTTAGCATAACTAAGGAGTAGGTGACCAGTGAGCAAACGCAAGATTAGTGCATATAACACTCTGAGTATGTCTACATTTCAGAGACTATATCAGCATAACTGTCTGCATAGCTGTAGCAACATAACCCTATAGTGTGGGTGCAGCCTACCTTGACAGAAGTTTTTTCTGTTGCTGTAGGAACACCAACTCCCTGAACAACAATCGCTACATCAATGGAAGAATTCTTCCCTCGACATAGCTGTGTCTACACCCGGGGTTAGGTTGGCATAACTACGTCAGTCAGGGACATAGAGTTTTCACACCCCTAAATTAAGTAGCTGAATTGACCTATCTTGTAAGTACAGACCAGGTCTAAGTACAAATGCTGCAGGTAAAACTTGTGTCTGCCTTTTGAAAATCTGGCCCAGCCAGTATTTAGTATTTTAGTATCTGGTATAAGTTTCAGCACAAATGGGTTTGTAACAGGCAGTTAATGCAGTGTGTAGTGTAGTATAGTCAAGTGGAGTGTAGTATCAACATGGCAAGAGGAGAAGGTTATAATCCCCCAGGTGAAATGTGATTAGTGCAACAGAAGTATATAGAAGGGGAGGAGAGAGAGAAAAACAAAGGTGGTGTTGGTGGGTGTGGAGTGGGGAAGGGAGTTATACAGAACAGGAATTAATAGTGGATACGTATAGTAGCATCTATGACACATGGGGATCCAACAGAAACCAGTCATTTTACTAGTAAACATCCCCAACTAGGGCATTCATTCAGGTTCTAGAGTTTTACTAATCTAGCAAGGCCTAAGTAAAATGGAAAACAACAAGGGTTTAAACTGGAAATGGTTCTCCAAACTTGGAATCAGTCTGTTTGGATTTCAGGAGGATGACAGAGCATCACCACCAATGCCTGGGAGTGAGGTATTTCAGAAACTAACACAAGCTTTATCGTACGTGGCCAGTTAGGAGAAGCACTCCTAACGAGAGGTACTGCTTTCAGCTCTGGAAGCCAGAATTAAAGTGTGACTAAACCTCCAAGTAATATGAGCTTAGCAGTTATTTGTCCACATCATGTAGAACCACCACACAGTTTGTCAGAAATGTCAGTTTCTGCTCAGATGAGATCCAGGATTGCAATAGCAGGGATGATGCAGGTCAGGTGTGAGTGCCACTGGGTAAGTTATGTGGGGAAGCTTGTACTTTGGTGGCCAATCCTAACCTGCTCCAAGCAATGCTCTAAGTTTCCAACACTCACTAACATTCACAGGAAATTCATCAAAGGAAACAAATACAGTATGGAAAAGTAAAATGTGCCTATGTCTGCTATATTGTAACTGAACTGATTTTAAGTGTGTTATGGATGTTACAAACTAGGATTCCACCAAATCTTTGATATATTTTAAGACTGATAAGAGAAGTGGCCTAGTGGTCAAAGCACAGGACTGGGAGTCAGGAATTTCTAAATTCTAATCCCGGCCTTCGACAGTGACTCCTTCCATGGACTTGGACAAGTCACTTAACCCATCTGCCTTAGATTCCCCCCAGGATAACGACAACAACATAGGTGCACTGTGAGGATTAATTAGGCCTTGTCTATACTTGGAAACAGCCCTAATTTAGCAATCAGTGGCCAACAATTGCTGTAGCTGCATCAATGCTGATCCTTAAGTGTAGGCAAAGGCAAGCCAGGGTTTGTACCAACTGAGATAATCGGGGTTTACTGCTGCTTCAAGTAGGGATAAACTTCAATTAGCTCCATCAATACAAACCTCTACATGTCTTTGTCCACCCTTAGAGGGCAGTTCTGGTGCAGCTATACCAATTATTGGTCACCAGTTGCAGAATAGGAGCTATTCTTGAGTAGAGACAACTTATTTAATGCTTATAGGACATTTTGAAAATGTTATGTGCTAAGTATTATAAGTCTTAATTTTATAGCTTCCTTAAAGCAAACTCATTTAGCAATACAAGTCTCTCCAAGTGACCTACTTTCATATGGCTCTTTGTTGGCAAAAATTGCCCAGAGCACTATGCCAAAACTGTAAACATCTGACTTCTCCACAGGTTTTGTGTTAACTGAGAGTAAGTGCTCCGGGGCCATATAGAAAAGAGTGCCAGCGGCGCTCCTGGACGCGCTCTTGGAATTGCTCTTGATTTTCCTCTGCCGGCTGGTCTCTTCTTTGGTCAGTCTACTCCAGTTTTTAAAGCAGGCGACGCCAAGATCTGCAATCTGTAAAACAGGTCAAATCAGAGCTACTGAAAATGGAGGATGTGGCTAATAAAGGGGAGAGATGGAGCAAATTGTTTCACATACTACTCAAGGTTTGTTAAATATGAGGGAATATTTATTGAAATGACGACTTATCTGAAAACTCAAACTCTTCAATAAGTATAACCAAAGAGGGACAATTAAATCATATTTTAAAGATCTCTGTGAATTTGTTGCCTGAATCAAATATTGTTGCCAACTGAGACACATTGAATTTTAACATGTTGAGACACTGTTATAGCCCAACCATGTTATAACACAACGTGGCTTTGCTTATATGGATGAGACCAAACTAGGTTAAAATCATGTTAGAGAATGGAAATTCAGGGTGAAATTCATCCCAGTGGAGGAGGTCAACACAGATTCACAGTGGCTAAGATTAGGATAGGCCTGGATGGGGAATTAACCAATTCCATCCCAATTATAAAGGGGTTTCGACAACGCTGTCTCTTAGCCCCTTTTCTTTTTAACTTTTATATCAATGATGTTTTAGCATTAAAAGGGCATCAGTATTTGTGCCCCCACAATTATGAATCACTTTGTCTTATTCTATGCCGACAACATGGTTCTATCTCAAACACCATTGGGACTGAAGCGTTTTAAACTCATTTGGTTTATACTGTCAACGGGAGGGCCTCTTGATAGATTATTTGAAAACTAAAGTAACTGTCTTTAGTCAGAGACAGAGGTTTCATAAATGGAAGATCAATGAGCAGTGTAGTGAACAAGTTAGCTCTTTCTCCTATCTGGGTATCTGATTCACACAAAATTGTTTGTGGGATAAACATATTGCGGTAACAAAAGAAGGCCTCAAATTCAATGCAAGCTGTGTTACATATTTCCTGGACTCCTGGGGGCCACTTAATTGCACCAGTCTTTAAGAGTATTTTGAGACTTGGATTTTGTATGGCTCTTGGATTTTATATGGCACAGAATGGGGATGGAATGATCCCCACTGCCCCCGGGACTGGAAGTGATTCAGAACAAATTTCTCAGGAGGATTCTTGGTCTCCCAAATAATACCCCAGCTGCTCTTAGAGCTGAGACAGGTATGAACTCTATTCTGTCTGAAGTGCAATATAGGAAAATTAATTTTTGGCTTTGCATTCATAGCATGCACCCATAGCATTTGTCAAGGTTAGACTTAGCAGAACGGCTTAGTAGGACTTTTTCACGTAAATTTGCATTCTCTAGGTTTCTCGGAATTGGAAATAATTAGATTTAAGTTTTAAAATGTGAAATCCATAATCTGGTCGAGAACAGAAGATATTAATAAGCAAATATATATGGTAGTGATTTCTATTTCAAATAGGTCACCTTGGTTCCTCCATGTTAAAAAGACTCCTGGGTATGCCAGATATTGAGAGAGTTTGTGTAATAACTTGCTAATGAGGGCCATGAGAGTTCTCCATTTTCAATCAATGAAGACCGCGTACTTAGAAAGCCGATATACTGGCACCGAGAAATGTAACCACCTCTGTCCATGACGCTTTGGGCATTATTTATTACATTATAACCTGTATTGCCACTTGAGGTCAAAATGGCTCTCCGTGTTTTTGTCCCAGATGCCTTTTTTTATGCCCTCTCAGATTAGGAACTGTTAAGAACTGACAATGTACTGTGATCCGAGCAGTTGCTCTATTTGCATGAGCAGCTACTAAAATAAGGAAAAGGCAAGTGATATGGTGATCATATATGGTTTAATGGTGTATGTCCTTTTTAATTTTTATTTATAAGTATTTTAACGTTTTATAATTTTAGATTTTCAGTTTCATTGTAATACTTTGGGGATTTTTGTTAGCCCTAGGTGAATAAATTCATCACGGATAAATCGCTATTAATAAACGTTGTGTCCCCTAGACTTCCTGTAGCTCCCTAGTAGGCCAAATTCAGAAGTGATGTATAACATGTATGGGTGAGTATAAGTTACATGTTGGTAAGGAGGTGCATGCATGTTGTGGGAGACTTATACCAAACCAGACTCTATCTAACTTCCTTAGGCCCAATCTTCTCTAGAACACTGGTTTGTCCTTACAGATGTTAGCAGTGTTGGGGGACCTTGTGCAGACTGGTCACCAGCTGTTGCTTTAACCACCATGTTAACCCAACCTGCTCAGAGCAAGTCTGACTCATCTCTAAATTTGGCCTCAGAGCTTTAATGGGGTTCTGTAACATGGTTATGAGCACTTGGTTTGGTTCCATCCATGTAAACAAGACCAAATATTAAGATTAGTTATCCAGTTACATATGCACTATTGATGGGGACTTAATCATTTGGTGTCTCTGCAGTTAGCTTCTCTTATCCTCTCTGCAGGATGCTCCAAAGTTGTTGTTTTTTCATTTGCTGTTAGCTCAGACTTGTCATGTCACATGAGCTAATGACAAGTGACATATATCAAGCAACAGAGCTTTCCTTACAAGGGGCTCATTAAATAACTGCAAGTAACGACAGGGGAGACTGTTTCAGTAGTTCATCTTCACAGGACATATGTCCACAGAACAAAAGACATGGGCTGCTGCAGATCCTACTCAGATTTACTCAGCAGCAGGCACCGTGAATAGAGGATTTGATTCAAAGCACCTGAAGTCAGTACAAAAACTTCAGTTGACTTCAATGGGCTTTGGATCAGGCCCACAAAACACTTCTGTGAAAGTCTGTGTCACTGCTTTTCTTCTGTAGCTGCTGGCTGACATCTAAAAGTAAGGAAGAGAGGGAAAGATGCACACAAAAAATTAAAAGGTTAAAGGAAAACGCAGGAAGAGGGAAAGCGCAGGAAGAGAAAACACAGATGAGATAGGAACAAAGGTGTGATATTTGCCATAAAGCAGTTTGATGTGCTGTTCTGGTATTTCTATTTTTTTCCCTCAAGTTGTGTTTGTTGAGGTTTGTCTAAAATTAATAACTTGTAAATAAATTAATGAATAAAATAACCAAGTGAGCAAAGCCAGTATTTTCTCTCTACTTTCCATCCCATATACTTTTGGCAGAGACAGATAATGAACATTTCAGGATCAGCTTGTAGGTGGGCCACCACATTTTAAAGATGGGCTACTAAAATTTGATTTTTGACAGCCCACTGGACTACTAGGTTATTAATCCTTGATAAACTCCAGCCTATATAGCAGGAGCCGCACTCTATGGCCCAAATCACAAGTGTTCTGTGTTTAAATTCTAACAGTACCTTAATGTGAAAGTCATCGTCTACAAGGATGTTTTCTGGTTTCAAGTCTTTGTGTACCAAACTCTGCTCATTTAAATAAAGCATTCCTTCAATGATCTCCAAGATGAACCGCCCTTTCACAGACAAGGGAATAGTGGACTAAAATAAAGAACAGGAAATACAAATTATCAAAACTATTGCATAGTACATCATAAAATGAAACAAATGGCCTTTAAAAGGCTCCCCCTCTCAGCCTTCCACAGTATCTTTGCTCAAAGTGGGAATTAAAAATCACTGAAGTCCTTCTTGGACCTAGATTCCACTCAATTGCACCAGAGTAAATCTGGAGTAACTCCATATTTACACTGGTGGAACTGAGATCAGACACAGGCCCTCTATGATTACTCCTCAGCGGGTCTCAACAGATGCATCCGCACAACTCTCATAGATTTCAGTGGGAAATGAACGCATGTACCTGAGGGCAGAATTTGGCCCAATGATTAAAAGACTCGAATGAGTCTGTCAAAGGCTACTGCTACGTTAGATCCAAGATCTAACTCACTGGGGTTAAAGGCTGCCCTACTTACACACAGTGTAAATTAAAGGGGATATACAGCAGGGGGTCTGAGAGTGGTTGTGGGAAAGACTATTTTACCGAGCAGCATGGTACCAGAGCAACATTTCGGGTATTCTGCTGCCAGTACTCAAGCCCACTACTAGTAACAACTAGGACTTTGTGCACCACTATATGGATAAGCCAGAGGGATAGTAGGCCTTTGGATGCACAGAATGGCAGATTCATTAGCCATTCCCAGGCACCTTTCCAACCCCCTCCACCTGCCATGGAGAAAGACATCCTAGAGTGCACAGGGTGTAAATAACCTTTCAATCTCCTGTCCCTTCTGCTGGTTTTAGAATCTGCTGTACCTGTAGAGGCAGAGGCTGCATTTGGCCCTACAGCAGGGAAAAGGGGATCAGAAATTGAAGATTCTATGCATAGTTATTTCCTTTGGCAACAAAAACCACATCCTGTCCTTTTCACAGTTCTTATCAACCCTGATTGGAAAGTTTGCTTTCACTTCCCCTTATGAATAAGGTATAAACAACATTTCACCCATAACCTTCCTAAACCAAAGCTTACACGAAGCAAATCACTGATTATTTTTTTCTGCCAAATAAAAGCATAAAGTAAAATCTCTAAAAAGACCAGAAAAACCACTAAGTGATTTTTAAGATATACAGCAGTATCAGCTTCCTGCAATAATAACTGATGAATGCATGTAGGAGAGATTATTTACTTCACTACTCACTGTTTTTAGTACTTTCATCAAGTTTCCCTTGTGCACATACTCCATCACCAGAGAGTAGTTCCCATCTTCCAGAATGATGCCTAGTAATTTCACCACCCGATCATGACTTAGTTTGCGCATAATTTTGCCTTCTTCAAGAAGGGAAGCATTATATCTGTGAAATGGAAACTACAGGATTACATTGTGTACAGGTATCAGACTGGTAAGAGCATAGTAAGGCATAAATATCCTGTTGACTCATAGTGAAAGTGATGGCCAGAAAAGTAAGTCCATCTTCATGACTTCTTTAAGGTGGGCCAGGTCTTCAGCTGGTTTAAATCCACTGAATTCTGTTTATACTATCTGAGCCTCTAGCCTAGTAACTTTTATATCTGTTCCCAACTTAACTAGTCTGTTCACATACTCTTAATTTAGGGCCTGATTTTTAGTAAGTGTGCAGGTATACATGCTTTGTGTATGCAGTGCTGGATGGGTGTATGCAGGTCCCTGACTTGCATGTATCTAGCCTGCTTACAAACTTGATGAAAATTAGGCCTTCAATAACTTTTTTTTCTGAATTTTGGAAAATGGTTTACATTATATTTGAGGACATGGCTATTAATTGGCTTAAATTATTACAGACACAGTAAGATACCAAACACAGACTACTTCTCTATAGCTGCCTTCTCTATAGCTAAAAATATAATAATGTAGTTAGAATTTCAAAGCAAGTTAATCTTTTAAAATTGCATTTTCCAAAGTGCTCTATGCACTCTCCTGTGGGGATAAAGAACTAGCCAGGGGAAGGGGAGACACAGATAGACCTCACAATTGTTCTATAGAATCTCTACTTTCATTTAAAAAAACATTAGCCTCTAGCTGTTGTGGGTTTGAATGAAACTTTCAAATCATGACCCAAGTGTAACTGATGCAGTTATATCTGCCGGAGTTTGCAGACAGTCTGAAACAATAAATCTGAAAGGTATGAACATCTCAGTGGGCACTAACTCAGATGCCAATGAATATACTTTGTAAGTCATTGCTTAATATAAAAAATTAAGAAGGCAGTTAGAAATACAATCTAACTTCATAACATTATAAAATCGGGGTAGGCTTTTAGCAATAGATGGTGGAGCTGACGAAGGCACAATTAGTTTCATATTCCCACAGGGGGCTCAGTTTTCAAAAGTTTGTGAAACACTGTCCTATTGGTTGAAGGATCCATAAGTGAGATGCCTAAAACACACAGGGAAAGAGGGAGTCACAGAGAAAGAGAAAGAGAAGGGCTTTGGATAGTTAGTGCAGGAACTTGAATGGAGGGACGTAGGGCTTGGTCACCAACTTGTGTCAGTATAACTATGTCGTGCCACACCCCTGAGTGACACAATTACTGTACACTGACCTAAACCCCAATGTAGACAGTGCTATGCCAACAGGAGGGCTTCTCCTGTCGACCTAGCTACCGTGCCTCAGGGAGGTGGAGTACCTATGCTGATGGGAATAAGCGCTACAACAGTGCAGCTCCACCAGGGCCGCTGCAGTGCTGTAAGTGTAGACAAGGCCTAGGACTCTTTAGTAAAGTGCTAGTATTCCGGGACTGACTTAAAAGCTAATTTCAGACAGGATTTATTACAGAGGGATCATCCAACCATGGCTGTGGACAGTGTTTAATTTGTAATGAAAGAGCTGCACAAATTAAGCAGTAGTTGGGTGGCTGGAGAGCGGCGGTGGCTGCTGGCTGGCCTCCCAGCTCTGAAGGCAGCACTGCCGCAGCAGCAGCACAGAAGTAAGGGTGGCATGGTATGGATATTGCCACCCTTACTTCTGCGCTGCTGCTGGTGCCAGCACAGCCTTCAAAGCTGGGTGGCCAGAGAGCAGTGGCTTCTGCCTGGGAACCCAGAGGTGCCAGCGCTATGAACTGCCATGCCTAGAGGTGCCAGGACTTAGCCCCAGCAAGCCCAGGCACAAATTAAGCACTGGCTGTGGATACTGGATGTTCATAACCTCGTTATTATGGATTAATGGCTTGCAACACTGATTGTCGAAAGCCACATTCTGCTTGGTCAGCTGGTGATCTGCATCATCACTCAAGAGCGCACAGCTAGGAGCTTATCGAGGATTGTTTTAAAAAAAAAAAACCCCGTAAGCATTGTGTAAAATGGGGAATAGTCAAGTTAGTGAGAAGAAAAAGAATTGTGGCCATAGTGCAAGAGGAAGTAGCAGCTTCCCTGTAGTATGTTGTGTGCTAGCACTCTCCCAGGCTGTGATTCAAAGGGAAACTGCCCCTTCCCAGTCTTGAGTGTCACTCTACAGCAATACAGAAGAGGCTGGGCTGCTTTCAGCTGCTCTAGGCTCAATTAGGAGCTTTTTTAAGGCTTCTGATCAACATTTTAAGTAAAAATAAACTTAAGGATTTGAGATAGAGGAGGAAAGAAAAACAGTAAAGGCAGCCAGAAGGTAGGGGAGAAAAGCGTTGCGGGCAGCAGTCTGTGGACTATCAGAGTCTCTTCATTCACTTCCCGCTCTTAAAACTAAACTGGGAACTGTTCCATAGTCTCAGTTCAGTTTTTATACCGAATTAGAAGAATGTGGGTATTTGTGTCCTTCTAGTGGTTGGTCCACATAAGAGGTTTACAACTCTACTACTGCTCCCAGCTAATGGACTTAGAGCCTGACCCAAAGTTAATGGAGTCTTTGCATTAAATGCAGAGGACTTGACTTCAAGCTGTTAGTCCTGCAGTTCAAAGGACAGAGGCTCCCGCTCGTCATGGTGTAGTGCTGGGGTTCAAACCTGGCTGTTGGCCCGGGCAGCATTAGTTAAAATAACAGAAATTGTTTTCCTGCTACTCCTAACTGGACATTTCCAGTTAAGTGCCTGATTGTGTTTTTCATTTACATGCTTAAAAAAAAGTGCCACCCAGTTGAGTTTTTGCTTTCATTTAGGCACACAAGAATTTATTTGCTTTTAAGGACCCCATGTGGAAATAGTTAAATTCCCAGGTAATGGAGAACTTCATTATAAAGATGAGGCAATGCTTTAGAAAGGTCAGCTTTGGAGAAAAAATAAAAACCTTAGCGGAAAGTTCTACTGGTGCCTGCAATATCCACATACAACATCTTTCTTCCAAAGATTTTAAATGCTATATAGTCTCTCTCTTCATCTGTAGCAAATTGCTTCACAAAGGAGATCAGTATCATCATCCCCATTTTACAAATGGGGAAACTGAGGCACTGAGCAGGGAAATGATTCACCCACAGTCACACAGGATAGCTGTGGCAAAGCAGGGACTTGAATCCAAGTCCAAGTTCAGTGCTCTATCTATTAGGCAACACTGCCTCCCTTTAAAATAAAGTAAAAATGCTTTACAACAATCAACGAGGCAAGAAGTGCAATGCAGGGATCACAGCAACTGCCACTGGGGTGGAACACAGCAATGCTGCACATAGAGATAGTACATAATAGTTCAGGACAGCTAGTGAAAATGAATTCTCTGCACAGTCCATGTAATATTTCACTAATGAAATGCAATTTGCTAATAACAGATTCCACCCACATAATCACCATAAATCACTCTTAGTCCTAATGTAGAACACATTCTCCATCATCTGCAGTTTGGCGAGTTCACTATACAGCTATGTGCTGCACACGTTATATCCATCCTGAAAATATTCTCTGCACCGAATTGCCATTTCTCCTAAGATCTCTTTACACTACTTCGGCAGCGTAAAATGGCCTCAAAATGGGTGTACAGGTAAGGCCCCTTTACACTGTCACAGTGATGTAAAGGGGCCTTAGCGTAAATGAGAATCAAGCCCCCTCTCTCCAACTTACTCTGTGCGCTGGGGTCCCGTATACACTGTTTTTAATACCACAAGCCCATATTTCTTGTGATAACATAAAGAAACCATTCCAAATCCTCCAGCATCTAGTTCTTCCTTCTGCAGCAAGTCCTGCGTGTTCATGTGAATATCTTCCAGCGACATCTTTGTAGCCTCCAAGAGTTTAGGGTTTACAAAAATACAATACTCCTGGATCTGTTACATGAAGAGAGAAGACAAAGAAAGTGTCATCATCCAACATTCATGTCACAGTAAATGAAGATCTAGTTATGCAGGTAAGCCCAGATCCTCAAAGGTACAGCATTTCGATGCCTAACTTCCCCTGAAATAAATGGGAGTTAAGTGCCTAAATACCTTTGAGGATCTCGGCCCTGGGGCACTGTGTACCTCAAAGAAACACCCTGGAACCCCCGTATTTACCATTGTCATATAATTATATGTTTTGTACAAAGTATGCCTGTGAGGTATCATTTTAAAAGCCTTGATCTGTTGGACATTAATATCCTGTTGGATTGTATGTGCTATCATTGTATGGGAAGTTATGAATTTTTGCTGTGTGTGTCATACCGAAATACGTTGTGAGGCTGGGAACACCCACAACCGGCCTTTCAGATACAACAATGGAGTAGCCAGACATGCTGATGGTCCATTAAAGACAATCCACTATCCCAGGAACTGTACACAATGGAGACTTCTCAGAAGTAGCACTTAAGACAATGCAGAATGCTTGACTAATGGAGGCGGACACCCATGTCACAAGCAAGCTGGAAGAAACTATAAAGAGGGGAAGTGACATCATGACTCGGTCTCACCCTTCCACAACTCAACACCTGGAAACATGTCAGGTGGACAAAAACTTTGAAAAAGGGGATGGGGGCCCCAGGAGGAGAGTTCCAGCCTGTGTATTGAAGATCTGTGACCTGTTTGTACCATCTATCAGGGTGAGATACTGCTTGATTCAAATCCTGTTTACTTTATAGAACTGATTGCAAATCTCCTTTTATTTCTTAGGTAAGCAACTTTGATCTCTACACTTACTACTTATAATCATTTAAAATCTCTCTTTCTGTAGTTAATAAATCTGTTTTATATTTTACCTAAAACAGTGTGTTTTGATTGAAGTGCTTGGGAAATCTCAGCTCAGTTTACAAAGACTAGTTTGTGTCCTCTCCATATTGAGGGAGGAGCGGACTGGGTAATGAATTTACACTAGTCAGGCTTCTGACTAGGGCAAGACGGTACAGTTTTGGGGTGCCAAGCTGGGGGGATTTGGCTGGAGCCTCTCTATTGTTATATTCATGAGTGGCTGAGAGAAGCATTCATGTAACTCAGTTGGGTGTGTACCTGCCTGTGGATGTCTGTATAAGAACAGTACCTGTCAGAAGTTTGTAGCTTGTCAAAGCATCACATTGTGAGAGGGATACCCCAAGTTGGTGGGACAAGAGGGCTCAGCGGTCCCACAGTTCAGGCTGCACCCTGGGAACCCTGTCACAGGAACATAGTATCTTGTTTATTTATCAGCATCACAAAATGATAGGTAAGTGGGCCCAACTCAGAGCTGATTCAGGTTGCCTGGTGTCCGGTTTTCAATCGGAACACCTGGTCAAAAAGGGACCCTCCCAGCCCAGTGAAAATGAGCGAGTCGCTGGGGGGGGGGGGGGGGGGAGGGAAGGAGAGCGAGCGATGGAGGGTGGAGTGAGCAGGGTGGGCCCTTGAAGGAGTGGGGAAAGGGTGTTTGGTTTTGTCTGATTAGAAAGTTGGCAACCAAGTAGCATCTCATAGAATCAGGTCCAAAAAATCACAAGTGGTAGTTTATGGTGAGTTACTAGCACTCTAACATTTAGATCATAATAGTATTTTGTTCTTCTACTGGAGGATCTCAATGCACTGTACAAACATTGATTAATTAGTTCTCAGCTTGTAATGTACAGCAGTTTAGTATTATTACCCCTATTTATAGAGGAGAATATTGAAGAGCAGAGAAGTTAAGGACCAGATTTTCAAAGGTATTTAGGCACCTAAAGATACAGATAGAAACAGTGGGATTTTCAAAAATGCCTAGTGCCTAATCAATGGGACTACTTGTGGAATAAGGTACTACTCAGTGTGAGTAAAGGTGGCAGAATTGCACTGTTTCTTATTGCTCCTTCACACCCCACAGATCACCAGTCTCAGGGCCTCAGGATCCTGCCTTAACACACTCATGAATTATGAACTAACATTCTGTAAACAGTGCAAACCCTCAACAGAGATTGTGGTTTGTTAAGCACAGAAGAAAGTTTCCCTTCTCACAGTATAACAAGGTGTGCTGGCTCTCTAAGACATGCTAAGAGTCAGCCCTACCCCAGTTTCAATCTAGAATGGCTGGAAATCTGAGAAATGTAGTCTCAGGTTGATAGGAGTTAGAGGCGGTCAGAGGAAGGCTGTCAGAGGGTGCTAGGGAATATAAGTAGCCCCTTTCCCTGAGAACAAAGGGAGAGTACGACAGGAGCAAGACTTCTTGTGAGGATCCCTGCATACACCATAAAGAAAGTCACAGAGTTGTTAGTCTCTTTAGTCTAACAATCTGAGAAAAGCCTGAAAAAGCCAGTTAAGAGCTGATGAAAAGGCCTGAAAAGGCAACTGAGTAAAAGTGTACCTTATGACCTCATTTTCACTATGGGAAAAAAAAAAAAGGTGCATGCTCTTATTTGCGCTAGCTAACTTGAGTTAACTAAGAAGAGGTAAAATCCTAGTGAAGACAAGGCAGTTTACAATTTTCACATTAAACTTTAACTCGACCTGCTAACTTGTGTGGAAACTACAAACTGTCTTGTCCTCACTAGGATTTTACCTTGTATTTAACTAACTTGAGTTAGGAACACACCTATTTTTCTTTTTTGTAATGAAGACAAGATTTAAGAGACACCTGGGTTTGTGCTAGGTTGCTTTCTTCTCCCTCAAACCCTGGCCAGGGGCTTAATTAATAGGTTTGGATGATTACAATAGCCCAAGTACACAGATCTGGGAACAGGGTATTGTTGTCAAGGGTTGGCTGCTAGCAGCTGCAGCAGATTAGCCCTTTAAGGCAGCAGGAAACTAACTGCATTAAGGAGTGGAAGAAGTGAGTGGGTGTCTAGAACGTGGCTAAACAAACTGTGAATGCTGACAATGCTGGCCTGTGGTTGTCTGGCCTTTAAACTAGGGGAAAGAGAAGAAGGGCGAGTGTGTTGCTACACCTAGTGCCTGCTCTTCTGTCAAAGGACTTATGCTTGAACTCATCATTCCCTGAGGGCCCACCAGCGGGGTGCTGCTGGATTGACATGGAATCCTGAGGGAGAGCCTATGGCCCAAGAAGAGAAGATAGAACGTATCTACATCAGATTCTTCTCTTATCACTTATCACTACTTTGAAGGAATATAGTTCCAGTTAGTTGGAGAGCTATCCTACAAGCAAGGAAACTTGGGCAATGGCTGCATTCACATGGACGGAAGGTAAGCCCCTGCCATACGTGGCCATCAGTTTTGGTATATGGGCCAGGCTATATGGCAGTGGTTCTCAAACTTCTGTACCGGTGACCCCTTTCACATAGCAATCCTCTGCGTGCTGCCCCTCCCCCCAAATATATAAAAAAGTGTTTTTAATTTATAACACCATAATAAATGCTCAAGGCAAAGCGGGGTTTGGGGTGGAGGCTGACAGCTCATGATCCCCTATGTAATAACCTTGTCACCCCCAAGGGGTCCTGACCCCCAGTTTGAGAACCCCTGCTATATGGTATGCATGTCATTGATCTCATAAGGGAGCTGTGAGGCTTAACTACACTTGTAAAAACACTTTAAGATCCTTAAATAAAAGGTCCTGCTATATGAAGACAAAGTATTTGTATTGTATATTTCTGACACCTAAAACTATCAAATGATCCATCTTTTCATACTCTAGCTCAGGGGTAGGCAACCTAAGGCAAATAAAAAGAATCCAATATTAACTTTCTAAAATCATTTCTTTTGGGGGGCAGGGAGCGGGAGGCTAGCCCTGACTCATGCCTTTTGAACATTTAATGTTGGCAATATTGTGTCTCAGTTCCCCATGTATGAAATGGAGTGAACATTGCTGCCCTACCACATTCAGGTGTTGGAAGGCAAACTTTTGGAAGTCAGATGTAATATCATTTTAAAGTTTTACTTCAAAGAATGCAATGGGAGGAAAATAGCAAAGTGTGTAGCTTAGAAAAACAACATCACCACCCCGAGAAAACTGGAATCCTTTCACTGAAATGAAAGAAATGCCATGTAACGTGACTAAATGCAGTTTAAAATCTATGAACCCATAACATTAAGATCCTAACTCAGTGACAATATATGGGTAGACCTAAAAATACAGTTTTAAACACAAACACTATTCACGGTCTTGTATTACCAAGAAATGAATTCATGCCCTCAGGGTCCTCTTTTTTTTTTTTTCCTTCTTCTTCTTCTTCTTCAGCAGAACAATTAATACTTAACGTGGTGCAGGGAATGCAGTTCCCTGTGCCATTTCATAGCCTGACTTTCAAAATGCATGTACACAACTGCACACCTACTGTAACTTACCTCTCTAAATCAGGCATTTGCACATGCAATTGGTCAAGAATATATCTAACTAGTCATTTCTCATCTACATAACCAGTATGCACATGCAAGAACTGCATGTACATTTTTGAAAATCAGGCCTTTAAAACTACACCAATTCTGTTGAAATTTGGAATTACTGTTCTATTAAGTAATGTAAAACTTCCTGAGTGAAGACAGGTTTCAGAGTGGTAGCCGCGTTGGTCTGTATCAGCAAAAAGAACGAGGAGTACTTGTCTCTAAGGTGTACTCACAAGTACTCCTTGTTCTTTTTGAGTGAAGACAGTTTTTACCCCAAATTGCTTACAATCGAAGGCCCTGATCCTGTCCCAAATCACTTATGAATGTAAGTAATTGCAAGTCAGCAAATAGTCACTTTGATAAAATAGAACACTGGGCATATATTTTCTAATATGTAACTGTTTCAATATTAACAATCCTAAATGTTGAAACAGGACTTGTATGAAATTGTAAGAGTGAAATACACATTGGTTGAGGGCCAACACCAACTAGGGACCAAATTCTGCAAAGTGCTGAGGACTTCTTGCAATGGGAGTCCAGGGTACTCAGTGTCTCGTGGAAGATACTTAGCACCTTTTGGGATTATACGCACATGCTCCGATTCTAAAAGGTGTGTGGACACCTAATTCCCATTGATTTCAATAGGAGTTAGACACCTAAATGTCTTTTTGAGGATGTGGATTTAAATTAGACTTTTGCCTCTTTTGCCAGCATCTAGATGTGAATGAATTTCAGCCCAAGGAAGCAAAATTCCATGAGAAACAAATGAGTTACATTAAAAGCCCCAATGCTACAACACTTCATAAGGTGGACATGCAAGTTATACATTTAGGTGTCGCTGCACAAGGAGTAACGCTGCATAACTGTAAGATTATTTTTCTGTAAACCCAGTTCCTTGTTTTACAACTCAGTATAGTTGTTCTCCTCTCGCAGTCTGAACTTTACTTCTTATCTCCTCCCCACCTCAGATGACATGCACAATATCCTCCTCGGAGGGATTCTCACTGGTGCTATGGTCAGTGGTGAGTGATCTCTTTTTACTAGTTTCAGAGTAGCAGCCGTGTTAGTCTGTATCCGCAAAAAGAACAGGAGTACTTGTGGCACCTTAGAGACGAACAAATTTATTAGAGCATAAGCTTTCGTGGGCTACAGCCCACTTCTTCAGCTGCATATAGAGTGAAACATTTTTTATATATATATATATACACACACACACACACACACACACACACACACACACACACACATACAGAGAGCATGAACAGGTGGGAGTTGTCTTACCAACTC